TTAACATACAAAACTCCAAAATCTTATAACTGTACTAATTGCTTAAACGTAACAAAGGCAAATATTAGTTTATATGGCCAATTAGTAACTTTATGGAAACTACAACATGACACCAAAAATTAAATTAAACATAAAGGATTTCTGGGGCACACTTGGCTTTTAAGTTTTAACAAACAAGGGGTTAGTGATTTGATGTAATAACACTTTAAATGCATGCATATCTATATAAGTGAAATAAAATATGATCTGAATAATTGTTGTAAATTAACTTCCAGATGTACATGTATATATATGCAAATGTTCTATAATAAATTTAAATATTTATATTCATAGAACACTTGAACACATCATAAACAACTTAAACTGTATGTAAAATAATGTAGGTGTAAAATATAGTTTGTTAACTAGGACAGATTGCAAGCATGATCCGCAAAATTCAGGTAGAAAATAAAAGATGCACAAATTAAAGATACATAATATTATATTTATGTATGAATATCTTTTGATTTTGCTTGGGTTTTATGCCATGTCTACAGTTCAGTTTGAAGAAGATCTCGGGTGCCCTTCCGTGCATTATTTCAGTCATGTGTGGGCATCAAAGTAAAACCACCGACATTATATTACATATAAAATGCTAGACTTCGCACGTGTATAAGATACGTACACGCGTTCAGTATATCTACATGCGCAATACAAATAAAGTCCGGTATTTCCTATATATAGATAATCACTGCAAAATAATCCCTCTTCACAAAGGATAAGCTATAAATATAAAAAAGTACAAAACCAGATGTGCATAATCATTTTGTTATCAAACATGTGACCTTGTCATGTTGCGTGGCACACTTTATGCAGCAGGAAAGAATTCCCCTTACTTTTTTCACATTATACAGGTCACTACCGGGATTTTGAAAGAAACCCGAATAAAATAATGACAAAAAAGTTTATGTTTTTAAAAAAAACATATCAAGTGTTAGGTAGGTATAGTCGTCCTGAAATATGATCCAGCCAATTCTTTATCACTACAGTAGGTTTTAAAACTTCAAAATGTCTTTTTAAAAGTGATTTAGATATGCATACTTCACTTTATTGACAATCATCACCAAAAGTGATGTTTTCACTCTCTACTTATCTCGATGCCCTCATATCTCGATATTATAAAACACACTTAAAAAGTTAATAATGATAAAGCAATAAATATTTCAAAACAATCTAATCGTGTGTTGAGGTGCGTAGATAAATATTAAAATAGTTGTCTTACAGTTTTTTTTAAATTCAGATTTGAATTTGTTGTTTTTTGTTGAATGTTGGCGGTTTTTTTTATTCGTTTGTTTTGTTATTGTTGTTTTGTTGTTGTTTTTTGTGGGAGGGGGGAGTATTTTTTTTTCTTGTTTTGTTTCTTTCGCTGTCTTTTTTGCTGTTTATTTTTGTTTTTATTTGGTCTGGGGATAGAGGCATTGTTGCTTTGCTGCTGCTGCTGCAGTTGTTGTTGTTGTAAACTGCCGATGATGATTCTTCAAATGAATCAGTGAAGATTATTAGTTCATTCAATACTTCTTTAGTAATTGCCAGGAACATGAGTGCTGTAATTCCAGTTGCTATGCAAGACCAGCTCTGCTCTAATAAACCAAAGAATTAAGGAGAGTACTTCTAAAGTTTCGATTTGTGCCAATGACTTTTATTATTTTTTTATCTCTAATGTGATGAGAAAGGATGTACAATTGCTTTAAGAAATTTTAATGAGATTTTGAAGAGTACATATATATGTATATAACCGTTTTCGGATGGCGTAATTTAAAACTGAAAGAGGATTGCAACTTTTGCGTTTTGACAGTTTTGCCCGTATCAATTCCCCCCGTTTTTTTTTCTTGTTGCTTTAAATTTCAATGTTTGGGCAGGTGAAATCTGATGAAATCTATATTCAGCTAGGAAGTGCGACAGATGCTGGTATATATCAAATTAATTCGGGTAAACTCGGGGACTTCCCTTAATCAATAAGGAGATATAATAAAATGCTAAATATTTACCAGACAGCAAAATTAGTTTTACTTTGTTTGAAGAATAACGAAAATTACCTTATACATTGACAGCTGCAGCCTTGTATTTAGATTATGTGAACGTCAGAATTATCCAGTGAAAAACGACGTCACGAATGACAGTTTTATTAAAATTAATAAACGACCCTCCAAGTCATTATTTGTAACGTGAAGATTTTCAAATCTCATAGTTTGAAGGAAATTCTGTAACTATAAGGGATTTCGAAATCTAAAGGACTCGAAGAGACTAAGATTATGATTATACGTGATTATAAAAAAAGTGATTGTAAAAGTAAAAAAAAATGTTATCATTAGATAAATCGTTTCATATAATACTCAAATTGGTAAAAAATAGAATAGTTAAACAATAAGGAAACCCCTCGATACCTCTCATAACTGCAAATCGGCTCTTACTCGGCAGTAATTAGTGTATTAAACCGCTTTTTCATGAAGAAACCAGTGCTGATAGTGAAATTGTGATTTGCATATTTTGATTAGCCATGTCAGGTGTTTCTAAAAAGGCTGATAACACTGTAATAATGTGAGGATACATTCAAATTTATTACATAGATAATACACGTGGAGCTCAGCTCGCAGAGACAAATGAGTACACAGTAACTTTTTGACATCCTTTTAACTCTAAGAAAAATGTCAATTATCAATTGCATGTTATGTGCTATTAATGACTGATTTTGCAGTATCAATCACTATATTTCTACTGCGTTACTAACGCAGTAGGAAGTATTTATGTATATTGTGACCTCTTTTTGTAATGTACGTGGATTATAACTGCCGTTTACGTGTTAATTACTTTTTTGTTCATTTCACAATATTTTACTTTTAAATACACTTTCAAAATTTTCATGAAAATTAGCATGAATCTGGAGGCATGCTGCTTTAAAGCGGCCTTCGGCTTTCATTTTTGGTGGAAAAAAACATTCTGTGTTGTTTCAAACTAAGAATACAGTAATTTTATCTTTGAAAAGTCCATCATAACTCTGTTAAGTCTTCTTCAAAGCAGCGTCCCGAGAGCTATTTATAGCACGCCAGTGACGTTCGTTGTATCGTCCGCTTTGCTAAGTATATGGGTAAGAGTTTGTATTAAGACGACCGTAGGGAGTCAAAGTAAATATTGAGTAATTGAATGATTTTCAAATTTTCTTGAAATCTGATTTTTTTTCGTTACGTTACTGCATTAAAATACCCCGACTTAATCTCAAGTAGACAGTTTTTTACATACACTATTATAGTTCAAGTTTTGTTTAAACAACATTTCACTTGTATACGTGATCTATATTGTGATAGAATAACATTCGTGTAAGACGTTATTTATCAAGCTTTTTTGGGACACCACATGCATTGCTATTAATTAGCTCTATAGCCAATAAACCTGCAATGAAATAAAACTTCCGTTTCTTATCTGGTATTATAATTGTTCCTGGTTTTAAAATATTCATTTTCAGTTGGCCATGGTTCGTTGAAAAAAAAATAACAAAAGAAAAATACGAAAAGGAAACTTCTTTTTACAGTTGACATATTTATTCTTTCCCTCTTGGACTGATAGCTGCAAGTGTTTGCCCAGACTAGTTTACTCATACATGTATGTGCAGTCTGACAAGACTCTATACTGTAGGTCGCTCAAGTTTTGTATAGTTGTTCTTAATTAAGTCAAAGCGAGGTGATTCCATCACATATGCGTCATCTGTATATATAAATAGCAGGACGTAATGATTTGCCAATGAAATTCGACATTACGTGCAATCAATACCAAAGACATTCGACATTTAATACCAAGACATTCGACATTACATGCTTTTGTAAACAAAATATACGCACGTATTGAACAGTTTGACCTGAACGTGATTAATTTAGATTCCGTCTCTGGTTGTAAAAGAATTTAGAATATGTACAGAGTGTCACTATATTTCTCGTGTGAGTACTACATGATCTATCAAATAGACAATAATGGTATACGCTCTATTAGAAAAATGCTGTATACTTAGTTTTTTATTTAAACTTATTTTAATTGGTTCCTGTTATAAGACCAGTAAAGCTTTTTTAAAAAATGGTAAAACTTTTATTACACTAATCTAGATCTTTTTGTGTGTATGTCATGTTACAGTTACCAAAACGTTACTCATTTGCTATAAAACCGAGCTTACTTTTGACTTTTAGTACATGTAAGACATATTGGATATTTTGCAGACGTCACATATGACGTCACTTAACAAATTGACGCAGGAAATGGGTATTTTACTGAATAAGTTCCAATTAATTTTAATTGATTCCGAATATAATGAAATTATCTTTTTGTCCCTATATTTTTAATCAAACAGTTTATCTATAAGATGGTTTGTAATAAGTTCGTACGTATAAATTATTTTAGCGCATGCGCATCTGAACTCTGACCGGGCAATATTTGTAGGTTAACCAATTTTTCTTAACAGCCACAAAAAACAACATCTGACAACATTAATCAAGAACAAAACAATAATAACAGCCCAAAAATAACAACATCAACATAAATCAAGAACATAACAACAACAACAGCAATAAAAAGAATTTTCTTATCAAGTTGCGTAATCCTTCTCGAGTATCGGAACCCCTTAACGTTCAACATAAGCTTTGTGATCAAAATTAAATTGCATTGTCACCAAAAAAATAATAAGAAAGACAAGTAATTTAATGTAGACAAGAACTATTTTCTTCCTTATTCTTATCACGATTACACCATTTGACCTACATTTGGAAATGAAAATGAGTTTTTCTTAAATTAATTAACTGATTGTTTTTTTTCTTCAAGAAGACCAGGAAGACATGAACTACGTTATGACTCGACAATAATCAATCGATATCGTCATCACATTATAACCAATGTTATTTCTTTTTCTTATATACTGATAACATTGATTGTAGAAGTGCAAGAATGATATTATTATTTGCTAAACGCGTAGGATCGTAGCTGCGTTTGTAATTCGCAAATATACAATTTTGATAAATATTTCCATTATAGTATTGGATTCATTTCTTTTTCATTGTATTCGTTTTCCTATTCTCGTATACAGAGCAGACTTATTTTTCTTTTATTCGTAACCATGCAAGTTAACCTAAGTTATGTTTAAAGCATCTTGGATTTTGTCGTCTTACTAAAAAGAGTCATAAACAAAACAAGTGTGAAACATAACTTGAACATAGTTTGTTATGTGCAGTTTTATTTTTTGGTGACAACAACAAAATTGATTTGGAATATCTAGACATAGTGAATTAAACGAAGTCTTCCTAACTCCGCTATGAAATATTGCGTAATGTTACCAGGTAGTTTCACACGCCTGAACTCGTGTAAAGGACCGAGGACGGAATCCGGTATAACTGCAATCGAAGCGTTGTACGAGGATGTTGGTAATGCATTTTCATATTTATTGTTTGGTGTCATGATTTAAATGTTATGTCATGAAAGTTAAGTACCTCTGGCGTTTAAAGTAACGTTTTAATGACATTGTTTTATATTTGATACAATGCGACTTCGACAGTTGATAGCTTGAAAAACGTAATAAGGAAGCAACATTTGCAAAATAATATTTCAAAGAATAAAAAAAACTTGTTTTAAATAAATAATAATTTTGTCCAAACAATCTAAGGAAGTAAAAGGTATTAGACGGCGAGAGAGTATCGGTTTCTTTTTTGTTTTTCTCTGTTTAAACAACAGATTTATTTTTCTAACTTACAAAAAGAAAGATATCCGACATCATAAATTCATAAATGATAACCTTAATGAGAGTGGGGGGCAAACAAAATGGTGATTATGTTACAAGTTGGGCTATGTATGTGTGCACATCTTATCCTATACATACAACCTCTGAAATATGCATCAAAAATCCATTCTTTGCTTCAGTCGCCTAAAGCACTGAGTTTATTTGCTTTTAAACCAGTGACTGCGGTCTGCATTTGCATCTTACAGTCCCAAACGTTGATAAAGTCACGGATCTTCATTCGGCCTTCCCGGGTTCCTGGACTTATAAAAACCGAAAACGATTTAAGAGTAGTTTAAGCATTGATTGTATTGCTGATAGCGAATGTGATTCACATATTTAATACTTATGATGACGATGATAATGATGATGTTGTTGTTGTTATTGTTGTTGTTGATGATGATGATGATGATGATGATGATGATGATGATGATGATAAAGGTGGTGATAGTGAAAATGAACATATCATCATTGAATCACTTTGTTTAAGTTATAACAAATTTATGGTCGGCATAACCATGATTCAATATTCAATTATTTTAGGTATTTTATTCTTTATGTTAATGATTAATTGTTTTTGCGTAATAAATCTTGATCTTTATCGTGTATTTACATGAATCTTTTATTTGTTAAGCAATCAAGATAACATTTTTTTCGGGCCATCTTAAACGACACGTTATAAGTACTGCATAGACTAAAATGATAACAACTTCAACAATTTTATCTGTGCCAAGAGAAGTTTTGTCTTCTGTATTTCTCATCATCATCATCATTATCATCATCATCCCTATTGTTATTATTATCAGGAATAGCAGCATCGTTTTTGATATTAGTTAATTAATTAATTAATTAATTAATTAATTTATCTTTTTTATTATTTTTGTAATTGTTAAAACAGGTCAAATCGCTGGATTTCCTCTTCAAACCCTCGACAATATGTCAAATAAAGATGAAGAATTCAAGACTACTAGAATATTATTAAAGCAGATGTGCCATATACTTGCAAAAGACCGAGAGGAAATGACAACGGACGAGAAAGCGTTCTTCTTTTTCCCGCCAAAACTTGATCGAAACGAAGATCTCCCAACATGCACTGCGAGAAAGATCATGAAAAGTATGTATCTCTATTGTTCAAACATTTATTATTTATGCCATATGGTTACATACTCTAATGTGCATACATGCGACACGCCATAAATAGTATATTCTTACATCGTGACATCATAGTGGAAAATACCCGCTCATGTTCTAATACAGATAAATACGAAAACCGTCGAAAAATCGCGATAGCAACAGCTTCGGGGATATTGTATTATTTTTACGGAATTATCCGATCTTTACCGACTTTAATGGGTTTGCTATCTTCAAGACATTAGTGGATACAGATTGACATACTTCTATACAAGTTTATTACAGATAAATTGTGACAAACAAAAGCTTATCATTTACTTACTTTCTTTGTCACCTTCCGGGTTGAAAATTAGTACATCTTGACCCGTTTTGTTTAAGGTTGATAAATGACTTCGGTATATGCTTGATATCGTTAAATAAAAGAGATATTCTACAAATGTACTAGTGTACCTCATTATTCATTCTTATTGCTGCAAATCAATTTATATGAAGTGAAGAGCACATTAGTTACTTGAGTATATTAACAAAATAATGAAATTATTGAGGAACTCAGCAAGTGTGTATGAAAGCGATAATCTTCGTCAATTTTCGTACAATATTTCTTTAATAAGCGTTCAAGCAACATGCCTCTATATTCATGCTAATTTTCATGAAAAATTTGAAAATGTATTTAATACTAAAATTTTGTGAAGTGAACAAAGAAAGTAATTTACACATTGCAAACGGCACTTACAATCCACGTAAATTACCAAAAGAGGTCAAATTATACATAAATACCTCTTACTGCTTTAGTAACGCAGTAGAATTATGGTGGTTGATACTGCAAAATCAGTCATTAATCGCACATAACATGTAAATAATTAATCAAATATTGAATCTTTTTACATTTCTTAAGATCTTAATACATTCTTCTAAGATTGAATTTCTCAAAATATTTTGGCTCATATGGAGGCGTGCAGCCTTCAGTTGTCAAGATAATTGTTGTTTCAAATTCATCATCTAGCTTTTGTTATATAATATCTTTCTGTATAAAACGTTATCAAATTATCTACGAATTTCAGCAGCCTTTTAATTCAATATCAAGCGCTTTTTTTCCTCTTTTGTTTTCGAAAAGCCTTTTAAATAAATCTGATATGCTTTCATGTGCATGGTTCTCTATTTCAGATCCCGAGTTCAAAATAACAATCAATGTATGGATTCAGGACCCAAGCTTAGACTCAGACAAACAATTCATATGTTACACAGTCAAGGTAAGTGAATTTTTGAATTGATATGTTCACTCTGTTGAGCAAATGCTTTATAGGAGCTCCACTGAAGTCAAAAAGGCCTAAGAAATAACATTTGAAATTCTTACGTAAGTTAAACACTTAAAATGAGAAAATCTGCAAGGGTAAAAATGAATAAAAATATCAGCCAAAATCATCCGTCTCAAGAAGCTTGTTATTTTCAAGAAAAGGAAATCAAATTTAATAAGTGATATACAGTTGTGATTTTCATTTCTAATTAGTTGTTTTTTACGAATTTACAAAAATTGTCAATACAATATTTCACCAGGAGGATATGGGGCATATAAACTTCACAATTAAATTTAATATCGGTTTGTTTTTGTGCGATTTCTAGCCTGATTTGAGTGAAAAGCATTTGAACAATTTGCATCTTTGGCTCGTGTTATTATTTTGGAAAAAAAACGGCGTGAGTTATTGATCTGAACAAAATAGCTAACGAATCATCCGTCCAAATCTAGATTTGGTTCTGTTAACATCTGTAAAGATGTGCTTTTTTAAACCGTTGTCATGGTATGGAGATAAAATAATCCTTGCTGTTTTATAGGTACCCGCACCAGATCCCCCTCACTGTGTAATAGAAGCAGCTCTAAACGCACAGTACAAATCACAAATGGGATCGATAGAGAACGACTTTGATATGGATACAGGTTACAAAGACGATGAAATGAACAAAGAGCGAGGAAAGTATGTGTTGAAAGTATGCGGCAGAGAAGAGTATATGATGCGAGAGTGCTGTATACATACGTATGAGGTAATTTATTTTCTGAAAGTTGATTGGTCTACAATGGGCATATCAAACACCATAAGTATTCCAAATACTGAATAAAACATTCGCATATTCTTATGAAATATTTCTGGAAAGCAAATTGTTGCTGGAGTTCTAAAGTGATTTAGTATGAACATATTATATAATGAATAATGATATTTTGTTCTAGAACACTGTATTGTCTGCTATATATTTATATGTCATATCCGATCATGTATCTAACACTTGCCAAGATCCTCCGTTTCAAACACCTTGTAATTTTAAAGAAAAAGAAATCAAAATTAACATGTGATATAAAGCTGTGATTTTCATTTCTTATTAGTTGTTTTACGGATTTACAAATGTTGGCAATTTAAATATTTCGCCAAGATATGAGGCATATAAACTTCCTAAATCTAATTTTATTTCTTTTTCAGTACGTAAGATATTGCATTGACAAGGAAGAAGTACCTCAGTTACAACTGGCATTAAAGGAAAATATACTCAAGTCGATCCCTGACAACAAATGCGTTATCTTACAAAAAGGTATTAAATATTTCATCAGAGTTCTCTTGCCCTTTCAACCCAACTGTACAATCTTTCTGTACACTTGACTCAAATGATCTTTTCTTAAGATTTTAATTTTGTTTCGTCAGTTCGGTGTTATAGTTTTGTTTGCATTGAAAATAGACTAATTTCAGGAAAAGATTTTCATATAACCTGTAAGCTTTCTACTTAATCCTGGATGCAATTTATGTATTGTAATTTTGTTCGTAAAAACGGAAGAAGAAATAGATATTGTTTAAAACACACTAATAAGAACCGCAAATGTCTTTGATTTAGATCTTCTCGAGTGTTACACTTTAGATGCAAAAAGCTTGTCCATTTGAATTGGAGATGATTCTGCGCCTGCATGGAGAAACGATTTAACGTTAGACATATAGACATGTCATAAGTTTTATAATTCTTTTATGCTATGTAATATTTTCTATTTCAAAAAAAACGTTTTTTTCTAAATCATACTATAAATATCCTGAGTTGCAAAAGAAAGAAAGAAAGTGTGCACGTAGTTACAGGACGATTCTGTATAATTTACAAAATATTGGCATTTGCAGAAATAAATTGACTTCACGATCGTTTATATCTAGTTGAAATGAATTTATTATAATAAGAAAATTGCGGAAATGCAAAATAAAAGGATGATTGTTTCTTTTTGTTAATGCTTATTTGCCTTTATGTCAGGTTCATGCAGTCTCTTACACTTTCATTGATAAATAGATGAGATGAACGTAAAGATACTGATTAATGGTAACGTAACGCGACAGAAAAGGCGTTAAATGTCACAATATTGCAACATTTAATTTTTATCTTTCGCTATTTACACGAAACCAAACTTCTGATAGTTATCGAATTTCAATACAAATGAAACCATCGCATGTTCAATACATTTCTGCCAATTTTGATACCAAATTTGCCACTCTTTTGCTCATTGCTGCATACAGAATTTCCAAAGTAACCAAGTGCACACTTTCCTTTTGCAACTGGGTATAGTTAATATTGCTGAACAGTAAACAATCGGACAGTGTTCTCAGAAAAGCTCTCGCCCTTGCTGATCAAAGCCTCAATATGCTATACTTTGATTCTATGAAGACTTTATCATTATTATTTTTGTATTTGGAGAGGTGAATGATTATTTTCTTTCTCATTAATCAGAGCCCCCTGTAATGAATGCGTGTCCGGCTTCGGAGACTCGTAAAACATCTTGGGATCTACCTGGCGATCATTTGTATTCGATCAAGATTAGATCTTTTCCAGCAAAAGGCACTTTTCAGCCAGGGGTAAGTGTTTATAAGCAATTACAAAAATTCATTTACTTTAGTCAGTAATATTTACATAATCATGAAAAGAAGGAAAATTTTAAACAGTGCAAAATATTTTCTTGAGCTTTACATGGTTGAGAATTAAAAGAGAATCATATTAACTGAAACATGAAAAATGTGGACACACGTCCAACCTTTTGAGCCCTTGAAATTGTTATAATTTTTTAATATGACTTCTTTCCGTTAAGAGGGCAGTCTCACCTTTAAGGTACGAAGAGTTATTGGCAAATGGTTTATATATAGTTTCTGACATTTACTTACAGTCGTATGTACAAGCGCAATTGTTTCATGGAACACAACCACTGAGTAAAGCAATGAAGACGTCGGAGAACGATTTCAACCAGACATGGGAATTTGATATACCAATAGAGAACTTACCTAGATGTGCACGATTATGTTTAGTAGCATGTGCAACTGAGAAAAATAAGGTACTGAATCGTTAATGTAAGAGCCGTAAAAGCCTGTGATTTGGGGTGTGACAGATCTTATTATATTTTTCTGGTCCTTCGGGATCATTTATGCAAGCACGTTAGTGTTAAAGATTAAACACCGCTCAAGCTTTAAAGGGATCACCCCTTTTACAGATTTTTTTTGTACCATTCATTTTAACCCATGTATGATCAAAGCATAAGATCCTTTGAGGTCGCATTAATCTCGATAAACTTAGTCTCTTAAGTTAATCAGCTATGTAAAATAAAATCGATATAATTTGTTATTTGAAACGATCTAATGTTATAACATTTTAGAGTAGCATAGGGTTCACGGTTTGTGAATTTAATCGGTATAATGCCACTTAATAAACTGAATCCTTAAGTACGGGAGAACACGTACATATATTATGTATTTTCATCGTTTATTGCTTAAACACTTGTTTATAAAATCTACTTAGTTTGACTTAGTTTGAAAACTTAATTTATTCTGTTTTAATAGGCTACCGGTATTAACTGGGTTAACATGCAAGTGTTTGACCATAACAGAAAACTCGTAACAGGACGACAGGTTCTCAAAGTCACAAACTTCCCAGAAACTTGCAATCGCACAGAATATCCTATCGGATCTCCAGGTATGTTAATAAGAAATGTTAGATAGCGTTTTAAACGTTAACGTTACATAACGTAATATAACAAAACGATATCATGGCATATCATAACCCAAATATAATATATGTATGAATTCAAGCGTCAGTGTTAGATTCTTCAAGATTTACCCCACGCCTGCTTGCAGCAACTGATTTCATCGGAAAGGCAGTTTTCTTTTGAAGTTGGTGTACTCATCAATAATATGAAAAAGTGGATTAAGATTATTTCTAAATATTAAGATTACACTTTTGGCACATCTTCAAATGTTTTCACTCCCGAACTATCAATAATGTTTTTTCTTTCAAGGAGCACTTTCAATGCAATAAGACTAGTATTCATTTGTGACTTACGTTTCATATTTTAGGTTCGAATCCTGATAGAAATGCGAATGAACTAGTGATTGAGATTATGCCCCCTTGTGAAGATGACGTGTACTATCCAACTAGTTCATATATTGATTCTAAAATGAAGCCTGATGACCAGTACCATGTCCCAACTGAGGTATTTATCTTTTTACTAGTTTGACAAAGAACCCGACAAAGAGTGATTGCGTTCCTTGAACGCCGCCCTTCCATGTTGGTCCTGTTTCTTTTCTCATACTTTTTGCATAGCTTATAAGTCCTTTGTGTAGTTTTGTGCTGAATTTCACAATATTCATCAAACTTTGAAATATATAGAAGACAGAAATTTTTCATCTGTCACAATTTCTTTGTGCACGTAAATGTTAAATATCAAAATACATGTACATGTATTTCAAGAAAAAAAATCAACAATTTCTAATATCCCTTTAATAAATTGATTCAATTTTGAATGATGATATTTTAATAAAGGGTATAAAGCGTTAACATGATAACCATACTGTAAGAAAACACAAATTTAACATCAATTTTTATAAATATTTTGGTCATATTTGGACAGAATTAATTCAAGCATTCAATCTGTAATTCAACGCTTTAACTATTTATTATTTATTTTAATTATGACAAAAAATCAGAAAACACTCCGGTGACACGGAAGTTTAAGTAGGTTTTAGCAAGGAATGCCAGTTAGGTACACAAAATACAAAAATCAGAAAGGGCTCATAGAATTTGTTATCCTAAGTTTAAAACTGAATAAACTATCAAAAGTAATTTATCTTCAGATGCAACTTAAGTCATTTGAAATGATCGATCGAATTGTGCACAAAGATCCTCTGGAACAAATGGGCAACAGCGAAAAAAGGTTTCTCTGGGAACACAGGTAAATGACATAGGTGATATTTTTTCATCATCCGTGCAATCATGTCTTGATTCAACAAAGAGGCACTTCACGTAAATCAGCCTAGTTAATAACGCTGTCACTTATTTAAAATAATACATCGATGTTTTGACTTGAATAATGCTTCAATTGCTATTTCTTTCTACCGAGCCATTTTATCAATAAACCATTAAAATTTGAATAACTTAAGGAATTTCGATGTTTTTGTTAATGTCCGGCATTTCATACCACGTGTGATTTATTTCTACAAAAAGTAAACGTTCGATGCACTCTTTACTATTTCCTGACTCTTTTCTGTTTGATAACCTGGCATTTAGTTACATCTTTAAACTCATGGTGCACAATTCAGATTTTATCATTGTACTTTAATCAAATGAAATTACATGCCTCTTGTCTTATACAGAGAACTGGCAATGGACTATCAACCTAACATTTTGCCAAGAGTTATACAATGTGTGAATTGGTCAGAACGGCATGATGTTTTCAAGGTATATTATATTTTTTATACAATATTTTCTATAAGTTTTACAGATGTTATTTCATTGCAAGGAGATAATTGAAGTTTTTGTTAATTCGGAAAATTGGAGGTACTCAGATGGCACAGAACATGATATTCATTAGTCAAAATTACACAATGGAAGATCAGTGTTAAGCCACAAAACACACAAAGTCAAGTTTGGTCTTCCGTTCAAGAAAATAAACCCTCATAACCAAATAATGACAAGAAAGCAGAAGATAGTTCAGCTATATAAGTAAATATCTGGCCACTGAAGAACGTTTAGAAATTGGAACTTACCACCTATAACAAAAGGCTTTGAGAAAAATAAGTATTTCGGGGCTTAATAAGCTTAATATATATTAGAATTATCAATTTTCAACATGAAAGTTTCATTTATGTTTAATACACCATAATAGGTCGTGCTTGATTTGTGTCACATTGTTGAAATTATGTTCAACAATAACACTTTTTTTAATATACCTATATTATTAAACTATATAACTTGCTGTTAATATGATAACACTTAAGCAGATCCTCTTTAATTATAATAATCACAATTATAATTTAAACAGCTTTACGGTCTGCTCAAAGTGTGGCATAATGAAGACCTCTCTTTGGTGACAGCATTGCAGCTGCTGGGACCAGATTATCCGGACAAAAGAGTTAGAGCTCTCGCTGTTAAAGTACTGGAGAAGAAACTCAGCAATGAGCTTTTTGAGCTATTCATGCCACAACTAGTCCAGGTAGGTTGGTAGACTTTTAAGTCTAAACCGACATTATGGTATGACAATTATTCAGCATTTCACTTGCGGACGAACATCTTAGATAGCACTCAGTGTATTTTAGAATTATGTCAATGACAATCGGGTAGAACTACAGCCTTCGGTATGTAAGCCTGAATGCCTGCTTACGCACGTAACATTTCAAACTCCCTGTCCATATGCGAACCAACAGCGAATTTGTATTGAGAGTAATATCTGAAGTAATTTGTTTACTTTTTTCTGTGCTGATGGTAGCATACTGCAGGCTAACATTGATGACTTTGACATAGTGTTGTTACTGGACAAAAGTATTCTATTTCATTTTTGGTTTTCCTCTCTCATAATTTCAATGATTATATTGTTAGACGAAGCATAAGGAACAGCAACATATTTTAAAGATATCATTCCAACGTATTTACTCAGTCCAGTCCACATTGATGAAATTTTAGTTCTAAATGACCATCATGAAAACGCATGTTATACTTTGTATGTATGTTCTAAACAGGCTGTGAAATTGGAAAGTTATCAATACAGTGACCTTAGTTGTTTCCTGCTGCGACGTGCTCTTTCAAATAGGAGGCTTGGACATAGATATTTCTGGCATCTGAGGTATACAATTGATACAAATAAGAATAAAATTGATACCTGGTCTTCACAGTTTTTGCTCAAATTATCGCTAGAAATGGCTTTATGGCGATGTGATTTACAAACTTCGTAAGATTTTGGGTCATGGTAATTTTTCTGCTGTTTTTACTAAAATCATTAAACGTTTTATTAAAAGAGGTTATGACCCTACTATTTTAAGACATACTGCATGTTTAGTGTTCAACCCTTTTACAGTTGGACACTACGCTTTCCTCTTTTGATTGCATCTGACGGACCAAGTGGGAGACTCTATGATGGATAGTTCGTAAAGCCCTTTGGGACTGAATTGTCTTAATGTTCGTCTTCTGCCTTGCTTCGTCGGGCCCTTGTAGGTGATTTTCTTGTTGCTCTGTCTTCCTTTAGGACATTGAGTACTTTTGTTATGGTCATTGGGTTTACTTTTATATGTTTCTACATGATCATTTTAGTGTTTTACTTATTTAACCTTTTGTAACCATGACAACTGTTAGAATTTCACTTGGCGGGGATTCATTTTATTTACACTGTCTCGTTTATAGGAACATGGTGGGGCTAAGAGCGAGGTTTGGTGCACCATTAACCGGTTTAAACTCCCCAGCAGTCATTATTATGCTGCTGACCGTTCCAAGGCGGCGCCCCACTGTGTTCCTCAGATGTATGTCTTATGTTGTTTCATACTGTTTTGGTGACACTTTTGCTTGTGTCCCTTGTTGTTTTCTCGTCTACGGTAAGTATATTCCCCATTGCCTCTAGTTTTTATTTCTTTGATTACTCCCCATCCCCTCCCCCGGTCTCCTGTCCCCTTCCCCTTTGTGGGCCTATTTTTATTTTCTTTGGAATTCCTAATCAGTTACAAATTAATTATCATTTAATGATTAACCTGTCCGTGCTCTGTCTTTGCCCTGTCCTGTTTTTGTTTGGGGTCCCCCTGGGCTCCTTGCCATTGGTTCTTGTTGCTGGGTCATGTGGGGGTTGCGTTCATTGAACGCCGCCTTTCCTTGTTGATCTTGTTTATCATATTTTGGATGACAAATTGATACTTTTCTTAGAACCATCTTATTAAAAAATTTCAAGAACTGTGCGTTCTAAATACTTTTCAACAGAGTTTTTTTTTAATGTACCTAGACCTATACCTATTTTGAAAATTACCCAAAATATATCTAAATTGAAAGATTTCTAAGCCATATGGTTGAAAAGCAATCAAAAGAACATAAGATATGTGATATTTCTTACAGATCGGAAGTACACAACCCAATGTCTCGGCTCAGGTTTGCTCCACTACTTGAAGCATATTGCCTCTATTGTGGATCATACCTTTTAGATAGTTTGTACAAAGAGGTGAAGTCATTGAATGAGTACCGCACATTTTCCAGGAAGACCAACAGAGATTCAAGCTTAGTGAGTTTTCAATTACATCATTGCATATCTACTCGAATGAGTCAAACAATTCTTTGACTTGACAGTATTTAAGTAGCAAGAGCATATGATGTAGTAAATTATGCTAATTAAAACTAATGTTTAATTGGTTTTACATTTATTTAAGGAAAGATAATTTATGTACTGGTAAACCTTTCCGCGCATTACTTAGTATATAGGCGCTAGCTTACACCTAAGTAGAACTAGAACTGCGTAAACTTCAAATGAAAGCTTCTTCACATGAGAGAATCGTAAGTCTCTGCTTGGATTTTTACCAACACCGGTAGGGGAAAGTGATTTGAAATTGGCGACATTAACCGGTGGTTTAAAATACATTTAATTTATCATATATCTAAAAAAGACTTATTCTTCTACATTGTCCTTAATTAGTTCTGAGATATATGTGTATCATGTTTATAAATTCTTCGAATGGTATAACTTTCTATAACGAGCAATTGATATCATTTGAACAATTTTACCCAACAGGATTTACAACTGAAAACTATGAAGAGCTGGTTAGAAACAGAAGAAACACGAACTGTTCTTGAAAATCAGACGGCAACTCTTGACCAAAATGTAGAACTTGGACAAATAAAGTAAGGATTTTGCTTCCCTTACACAAGAGCAAACCACTATTTTACCTTGTGACGAATTTAAGTCTTGTGAACAGTCTCAGTCAATCCAAGCCTGCTATATTTTAAATTTTGTCCTTTTATTCGATCTTTAGGAATTCCGTTTTTCTGTATTTTTTTGCGTGAGTTTATTTTGATATTAGAGTGTTTTATTATTACAAACTTATTCTTACATACGTCGTTCTGATTTTGGACTGGTGGCATATGTATGTCATTTATGTTGACCAAATTCATAAGGTTTTGTGCATACTGTTGTTCCCCCTTCTGAAACAGTAAGCTTTGAAACATTTTTTTGAAAGATTGTTCTAGCTAGAATTCAAGTTGCTTACAATTAGCATGTTCATACCATTATTACTAGCTATCGACCAACAGGTTTCCACTGGTTGCATTCGAATGCCATAAATGTCCGCTATCGTTCAAACAATTTTCAATTGTCAGCGCATAAGTTTTTCCGCTTGCGCTTATAATTGGGATTTCGAAGATCTTTGCTCCCTTTTATAATCAGATTTTCAATTTCTATTGAATTTTGTTTTTACAGCGTAGAAGACTGCAAAGTGATGTCATCCAAAATGAAACCATTGTGGTTAAGTTGGAAGAACAAAGATCCTAGCTGTAGAAATGGAGGTGATATAAGATACATCATTAAAGACGGTGATGGTAGGTTTGTTGTTAATAATCATAAATAGCCTCAAAGTAAACAACTATCTAATAACATTCGGTATGCAATTTGAGTTGATAAAAGCGGTTGGAAACTCTAATACTGATCGAATAGTTACTGTTTTGATATATGTCAAGATTTTATTTTCCAAAAGATAATGGTATGCCAAACACGCCTGTTTGTTTTCTCGTTTCATTCCAGTATATAAAAGTAAATAAAGAGCAAAGGACATGCAGGTAGTAAAAGGATAAATAATAAAAGTTTCAATGTAAACAATTTCATTGTAGGTAGTCTGTGTTTATGCCCATATTAAATTACATTCATGATTGGCCAGACTTGCTGTCGGTAATATATACCATTTCAATTAAAAATCATAGAGTTACATTACTTGCAGTTCAAATCTATCTGAAAGGTCGCTACTAACGAGTTAAAACCCATTTATCCTTTCTCTGCCCATGTGTCATCAACAGGTTTTGGTAATGTGTTCTAGTCAGTGTCTTGTGATGTAGGTGTGGCTTGGTTTTGTCGGGGACTACTTTTTTTATGAAAGTCACCTTTCCTTGGGGACTACTTTTTATGAAAGTCACTTTTCCTTGTTTATCATTATTCTCGATTTTGTACCATTGCAATTTTACTGCATTACTTAACACTCTAAAATTTTATATGACCATTGTAATACAACGCAAATTTTGGATTGCTATTTCAGACCTTCGCCAGGACATGCTTGTATTGCAGCTGATACGACTGATGGATATGATCTGGAAGTATACATCCCGAGATTACTGGTAAATAGAAAAATATTTGAATTTTGATTTTTTTTATTATTATTATTTTCATTTCCTTATAAAAAATAACTTTAGAATTATTTTAGCTTGTTATCAACTTAATGTTTCTGACGTTATTTAAGATTTATTTTCACTTGTTTTAAAGCATGTATCGAAATTGTTCTGTGCCATTCTTCCGGACATATTCTATACGAAATGGTGCACGTTATTTGATTTTGTTCTGAAATCTTTAAAATTAACATTTAACTGTTTCTTATTATTATGCAATTGCATGTAATCTGCTGGAAAAAGTATATAACTCGTCTTAGTTATATGTGCACTATTTGAATGTGCACTATTTGAAAACAACTTTTAATGTAACTTGTTTGTTTCTTACAGTATAACATCATATGAATGTATGTCAATGGACGACCATTTTGGAATAATAGAAGTTGTGAGCGGAGCTAAAACTGTTTGCGACATAGAGATGCACAAACAAACGGGTGTCATGGCAACAACGAGTATGCATGAATGGGTCTACACAGAGTCAGGAGGAGGAGTAAAGTATGCATTTTGATGTCCTACAACTTGATCTGAATTAGACGTTTTTAAATCATACTAAAATATGCTGAATTGATTTTTTTCCGATCGACTTTTTACGGAAGTTCTTTAAAAAGATACATTTTCAATTATTATCAGTGTTTTTAGATTTCTATTCCAGATACCATATCTCTATGAAACTGCATCTTTCATGATGAAAATATTATATTTATTTATTTTAATGACAATTCATTCAACAGATATTTCTAATATTTTATTGGTATTTCAGGTATTTGGAAGCAGTGAAAAAGTTCACTCATTCGTGTGCTGCGTTTTGTGTCATCACTTACATACTTGGTATTGGAGACAGGCATTCAGATAACATCATGCTTAAAGTGACCGGAGAGGTAACACTCCCTTGCTTTACACCCTTTTTTATCCTTAATTCATCTTTTTGCGATCGGTAGTATTATTAGAACACGTAATGATAGTGCCAAACCTTTAGTAGCCTTATTTTTTTATTTTTTTTTGATAAACGAAAAGTGTCGTGAATAATAAAAGCATGCGACGTAATGTCATCTTTAAATGACATTCTTTTAAAAATCCGTGTCTTCCCTGCTAAGTGCCTTTGCGGTGGACTTTTGCAAGATGTGTTTAACCAAACACAGAACAGCCTTAATTGATTTGTATAACAAATTCAATCATATCGGATTTTTTGAGTCTATAATTTGATATAACAATATCTTAGTATCTTATTCAGTATCATTTAAAATGACAATGCAAATCGATTTATGTGCAACGGATCTTTTTTGCGCATTATGTTTATTTATAGGTTGAAACCGCTTAATTAATACCATGATTAGTACTGTACATTATTTTGAGAGAAATTACTAAATACGGGGATATGCTGACAGAATATCGAACATTGCAGACAATGATCAGACGGCTTACGGTTGTACTGGTCAGTCTACACTGGTCGAATTGGTAGAGTCTAAGCTTCAAATCATACATTTTTTTGTCATTTGTTTTAGTTATTTCACATCGACTTTGGGCATTTTATGAACCACAAGAAGGTAAAATACGGCGTGCAAAGGGAAAGATCGCCATTTGTCTTAACAAAGGATTTCATCTCGGTCGTCACAAAGGGTGAACAGAAAGTCAACAATAATGAGGAATTTAACAAGTAAATTATTTAAAATTTCAACAAGAAATGTTGTTTAATTAGCAATTATAATTCATTTTGTCATAAAAACATGAAACGCACGACTTTAGGTGTTAAAAAATTATATATAAAGGACATAAAATAAACTTTTATTTGTAAAATAATGAATACGTTTAAATTTCAGCACTTGTAAGTTCAAAAATTAAGGCTTTTAAAATAAAAGATTTTAAAGATTGAAGATTTAATTGATCATTCAATATATTTTATATGTACATTGTTTACTAAATATTTTATACAGTCATTTGCAAACTAAACATTTATTTTTTGCAATGTTACAATAGTATCATCTTCTCTAATGGCTACCTCTTGGGCCAATTAATATTGCTCCCTTATAGTGAACGCACGTCGTATCTAGCATAATTAAAGTGTATAATTGTATTGTATATTCATATATAACGAAATGCAACATATGCTTAAGAATACAATCATTTTTCTGTATATTTCAACAGTTTTCTGTTCATCTGCTTGGACGCGTATATGACAATCCGACGGAATGGAACACTTTTCCTTACGTTACTTAGCTTAATGATGCATTGTGAGCTTCCCGAACTACAAGAGGTTACGGATATAGACTATTGTAGAAAATGTTTGGCATTGGACAAAAAGGAACACGTGGCGGCCAATAACTTCCTCATGGCAATTATGGAGTCGTATAAAGGACAGTGGAAGACAAATATTGACTGGTTTTTACATCGTGTGAATAGGGTCTGGCAAGGCATGGGATCTGGAAGCTAGAGGACAGGATTATTTGAATGAACTTTATATTTTGACCACGGCAATAGTGACTAGTGTAAAACGCGTGTCAATTGCTTAGTCTAAAACCGTTTGCTCGAATAAAACCATACAGAAATATTTTTTGTCAATGACTCATACTTTACAGTCTGTGTGAGTCATACAAAAAGTGTTTGTAAATGAACCCATTCAAAAACAGTTGTTTATTTCAATTGCCGCACCAAAAACTGTTTGCCTGTGTAAATAACCCGTACAAATTGTTTGTGCTAATAACCTGTACTAAATATCCGTTTGTGCAAATGTCCCTAAGGAAACCGAGACTTTATTTTGTGCCAGTGGTGTGGGCAGAGTCTTGAAATGAGTGGATTAGCTGCTTGCTATGTGGTCGTGGGAGAAATTAATAAACATATTTCTATCGGCGGTGAGTTTTGGGGATAGTGTGAGCATTGTGATGTTGACATTCATGTATTACTGACATTGTTTTACGTTCGAATTACAAATAACAACCAGGCCAAAGACTGAACTTTATTTTATTGTTGTATCTTTGGTTTAATTTATCAATTAGTATTAAGTGTCATGGTATAGTTCTTCACTTTTTATGACTATATCTGTTATTAAGTATATCAAGTGTTTGAATTCTTCTTCCAAAATCCTCAAATTTAACACTTCCAAATTTGTACCAAGGCAGTTCCATTATATAAAAATAGTAACTAGTGCTCTGCTGAAAAGTGTTTGATCTTATTAATAAAACCAACATTGCAAGGTTATTCTTAGACAGATCAATTTGTAAATTCGAAAATGATAACATTTTTGACAGTTCTTGTATTTGTAAACAAATTGGATGAAAACGTTTTTTATTTGTTTGTTTGTTGTTGTTTTTTTTTTCGATGATGACAGAATTAACAGTATTATTGCTCTTGGAATACATTGTATTCACATTGGTAATCACATCATTTGCTTATATGTAAATATGTTTATGAGGTATGTGTGTAACATACATATGTATATACATATATTTTTATTGAAATCATACCATTCAAGTTCATTTTTAACATGAAATACTAAGATTTAAGTGTACATTACCACGAATACTGCACCATTTCATTTTTATCCTAAAATACTTTGTTAATATTGCCATGTTTATTTTACCATTTAATTACATTTTTAACACAAAAAAATTATTGAATATTTCTATGTGTGTATTTTACTACTTTATTCTATTTTATTTTTTTTTGTTTTGGATTATTTTCTTTGTGCAATCATACAATGTGTCGGCCGAATGCAATCATTTAACATAACTACCTATCATTGTGAGCGGTAATTTGATATGATCTAAGTACATAACATTCAATTGTTTAATTTTAGGAACGAAATTGTACTGCTGAACTGTTGCTTTTAAAAAATATATGTCACACTAGAAAACGTATGGTCAATTTTGGTCCAAAGATCGAAAACTGACATGGAATTTTTGCCAACTAATCAATAGCTTTTTAATATATTAATTATCTTACTTCAAAAATAAAAAGAAAACGTTAAAGGGGGAGTTATGACGTCATTTCTATGAATTCTCTCAATCGATTAGAATAACCAAAAATGCAAAATGATATAAGGGTGTCGCAAGAGTTATGACATCATTTTTTTAATGTATTACCTCTGCATTTAATTAATTCGTATCCAAAAAGTAACGGAACAAAGGTGCTAAATGTGGCTAAAGTAAAATAGATTCTAGTTTTGAGCACGAAATTTCTTTATACTTTCAGGGGAAAAACAGTTTTCTCCATTCATGTTACTTGTGTGAATACATTTAACTTGAGTCCATGACTCATTAAAGTATTTTGTCAACAGTATAGAGAGAGGCAAACCTTTGCATCTTTGCAAGTCTACAAGGTCCTTTACAGTTAAATGCTTAATTTAAATTTTCTTGATGTTAAAACCCCTTTATCGCTAATGGACTGCTACAAAATTGAGAGCAGAACAAAGTCCATCACAAAAAAAAGAGAAGGGTAAAGGTCTTTTTAAATCATTTGACGTCTAGCCTGTTCTTTTACCCTCGTGCCATTTATACCGTGCCACGTGTAAGCTTGCGAAAGATAGAAACGAGTACTGTTTTAGGTTACTCTGTATTACTGGTATTTGTACAATACTTTGACAATTGAGATTCTATTTAGTATTATATTATGAGGGATAGCTGTGATATACAATGTTTTATAAGCATATGAATATATGTATGTTATTTTTAACTGTATTAATAAATAAAAACTAAATTTTTAGAAATATCTTTTTCTTTAGTAATCCTTCAATTCAAACACATTCTGGAAAGAGGAGATCGCTTAAGAACAATGAAACAAACAAAAATGTAATGAAAAGGTAATTGAAAGAAAATCAAACTTGATTAAATTGAGCGTTTTAAAAATGGCAGAGGCGATTTTATTGATTCTATTCTATTGTTCAGAGATAACGTAAAAACAACTTCTATTAAGGCTCCTTCAGACTTAAAGAGACTAGCTTTTATTTTATGTTGGAAAAACAACTCTATGTTGTTTCAAACTAAGTGTTCCCGTCATTTTAAGTTTGCAAAATGCATCATGTCACTACAGCATCCTGAGGACTATTTATAGCGCGTCAGTGACGTTGTTTCTAAAAATAGAAGAATCGTGGACCGTTTAATTAGAGGTATGGAGGGGTTATTACTTATTGTAATGTATTTTATCGCCGGAAAATTTCATGTTCAACTTTTATTCTTTTGATTTGACAATTATATGAAACGATTTATCTAAAAATTTTGTTAAACTTAAAAAGAAATAAAAGTCGCTTTAAGCACTTTACTTTTCTCATGCTAAATGTATTTGCGTACACAAAATGTCGGTTCTAATGTTGCATAAATTTAGAATGATGTGTTCATATGTGCAATCGCTGCACACCTGTGTGTACTTCACGTGACAACAATATAAATTTATCACTTTTCCAAGATAAAATTACTGAAATACTTAGTTTGAAACAATACAGAATTGTTTTTCCAACAAAAATAAAAGCTAAAGGCCGCTTTAATGTTAAATGCCATGTGACTCACAAGCTTGTTTTTAAGCTGTCTGGCTATGTCAGTATTAATGTTAATATGCCTGTTTCTAAGGACGCCACGTGCTCCTTCCGTATTTCAATTAAATCATATACAATGGCTCTTTTTTATGTATGTGCGTTTTACTTACTGGTTCAAATCGATTCAAATTATATATCAAATATAGTAAAATACAAAAAGCACACTTTTGTCATTTCGTGGTATACAGTTTTTACTCTGTCAAATGGGCAAAACATGTTTCAATGACATTAACACGCGCGCAGTAACGGCTGAATATTTACTACAGTATTGAATTCAACAACTTTATATAATTCTTTATTAGCAAGGTTTAGCATTGAAGAGTGCATTTATTTATTAAAAATTAAGATCATTGTTTGCCAAATGAGGTTAAACACCGACCTCACTGAATTAGGATTTTAATTACGTTATATATATATTACTGACCTTTATTATGGAAAACGGTGCCAAAAATCCAGTAATACTGTTATTGGGTTTCGGGTTTGATTGTTCTGTGAACTTATGCATAACATATTATAATCTGATTTTCATATTTAAATGTTACCTCAAACTTGCACAAAATAATCTGTCTCAAATAGAAGAATCTGCTCACCGGGGTAAGTCTCACAATATTATTCTTCTGATAATTTATTTCAAAAAATTAAAATGTATTCTGTAAGAAAGCAAAAGCATTCAATACTTTTTTCATAGAAATGAACTTAATATAGAAATTAACTTTGTTTACATGAAGCTGAATTTTACAAATTCAAACTTACGAAAACTCGTTTCCAACTGACTAAATCACGATATCATCAAGATGAATTCGCGATTTCAAAATGCTAAATATATGAATTTACGATTTTCAACTCAGGATTAAGTGAATTCAAATTCATGAATTCACTATTTCAACTTCACGTGTGTATGCCTATTCTCATTTCTCAACGAGCAATAATTCTTTGGATTGTGTTATAATTTTCTATACTCATTTTAAAAAAATTAATGACACGTGTAAAATCGCTATTTAAACATAATTAATTCATGAATACACGATTTCAACTTCATGAATTCGAGATTTCAACTTCATGAATACGCGATTTCAACATCATGAATACGCGATTTCAACTTCATGAATTCATTATTTCAACTTCACATGCGTATGCCTATTAAAGCCTTACTCGTGATTATTTTGAATGGCTCACAATTCACTGTAATGCATTATATTATGTTTTGAATTTCTAAATTTAGTTGTTGTTTTTTTATCACAGTTTCCAAGATTTCCTGCCATAAAGGGGTAGAAGATCATGGAGTCGGTTGCTAAGACGAGTTGGTCCATCTTTCTTGTGGTTCTTACTATGAATGGATTGGTTACAGGTATGTTAAAAAACTGTCTAAATATTGCCAACAAATTATTCTGTCCGCCCAAACCTCATCGGGTTAATTTGACAAATATTTTTGTACCTTACAGATTGGTGCATTCCATGCCGATTATTTAAAACTATTTTACTTATTCTAATGTAGCAATAATTATAGTATTAATATAATAATAAAACATGTTTTAACAGAATGTTTGATTTTCGTAATAATAACAATAATAATAATAATAATAATAATAATAATAATAATAATAATAATAGCGATAATAATAATATCAACGATGCTTTCTTTTTGCTATTGACTCCCTAATTTACTGAGGAATTACGCACGAGAAAATAGCTTGATGTCCATGAAGATAATATTTTTTTCTATAAAATTCTTACATTTATGGTAAAAGTTGACAAGAATTTCAAGATGAAAGGAAGAATTTCATCGAATGTTTCCTTAAATTTTATAAAAGAATGGTTCCTGATCAGACTGTTGCAAACCCATTATGTTGGTTTTGTCATGGCGCGGCTCAGTTATTACAACTTTAGTAAAGGCCCATTATACCTTTTTTTATTTTGACGTACTTTAATAGTTTCAAAAAAGATATTCATTAAACAATTACCTGAACCATGTTTTTTTTTTTCTGTTGTTGTTTTTTTTTCATAAGTACGATTAATTGGTAGTTATTTAGGTAATGGAAGCCCCCCATACTAAAAACAATTATAAATGCCTAAAACGCCTTATTAAATCATTATAGAACTCATATGCAATTTCTAAAGAATTTTAAAAAATCGTTTCTGAGGAATAGTGTGCCATTAAAGTTCAGTAGAACCTCTGTTAATGAAGACATTATTGTTTAAAGGATGGTCAATAATGTGATAAGAGATAAAGAATGTTTCACTTTTAACTTTATTTATTCTGGTTCTTTAAGCTGTACCAGCATCAAGGAGTCTGGCAGTAGGAAAACCGTCGTCACAGCCAAATTTATGGGGTGGACGGACAGACTGGAACGCAGACAAGGGGAACAACGGCAACAGAGACCAAAATATCTATAACAACCAATGCTTTCATACATTGAATATGTGGGAGCCCTGGTGGATGGTCGACCTGCAGGCGGTGTACACGATCACCCGAGTTGACATCTACAACCGACTCGATTGCTGCAGTAAGTGAATAAATCACAATGACAAGTAAAATAACAATCTTCAGTAGAGCAAAGTGAAAAATATAATAGAATTAAGCCTTCAATGAAAAATATCAGTTAGATATAAGTCATATCACACTTAGTGAAGTATATAGAATTATACATTAAATAGCATAGTATAAGGCCAAAGACAGACGTAATGTATATTTGGCGTTATTTTATCATGATGGTCACTCGCGCATTCGCACTCTTGAAACATAAATGAATTAACATTACTTTGATTATTATCATCATCATTATCAACATCATCATCAATATCATCATCATCATCATAAAGATCATCATTATACCAATCCCCACTATCATCATCATTTTATTTATCACCGCCATCGTCATCATCATCACTACCATCGAACATCGAACTCACTTTTGGAGAAAAAAAATGTGAAAATAAATGTGTTTTCCATTTTAGTTAATAGGGCTAGAAATGTTGAGATAGCTACAGCAACAGTGAATGGTCGATGGTCCAGAGCTGCCTATCATTCTGGGGAGATAGGCAATTCGAAGTCGTTAGCGATAAATAGCGTTAAAGCACGTTACGTTAAACTGACGTTGAAAGGCATTTCCGAGTACCTGCAACTGTGTGAGGTGGAAGTGTATGGATATAACGGTAAGTGGAAGCACTGTGGATGTGTTTTTGTGTTGCTGTTGTTGTTGTTGTTGGTGGTGGTGGTGGTGGTGGTGGTGATGGTGGTTTAAGTGGCGGTGGTGTTTTTATTATGGTATTGATGTTTGATGTTGGTTTTAGTTGTTTGAGGTTATTATTTTCTTTTGATTTTTCTTTCTCTTCCTCTTTAAATTATAGGATGGGGTGGTATGTGGTTGTTGCTTATTTGCGCAATTTGAAAAGCTTGAGGTGATGCAAAGTTTCAAAATATGTATTCAATGTATCATGTCGGCCTTCTTTCTTTCTTTGTTTCTTTATTTTTGTTTGTTTGTTTGTTTATGTATTTACTTTTACAGTTTATGTGCCGTATTTGTGCCTATTTTCCCGTCTTTTCGCTTTTGCGAAAAAAGGTACACAGGGCAAAAAGACGAAAATAAACATGGTGTTATTAAGCCACCATAGTGTTTTTATATCGTAACATGCAGGATATAAAGAACCATGGCAAATGTACGGAATACACAAATGTCCTCGGATTTTGGGTGAGTGTCTCATCAAAAAATATTTTGATAATGGTTTATAGTTAACGTTGAGTAGAAGGTGAATATAACTTGCGATAAATTGCAAATGTGCGGGATCAAAATCGTGCAGTCTGATTAAAATCAGCTCCTAATTAACGTTTAACCTATATTGACTAGATCTGAACTATAGTCAGTTTGGCCCGCTGTGATTAGTAAAATGAAGTAAAAATGTTATATATTAAAATTGGCACGCGTAAACTCAATGTGTAACAATTAAGCTAATCTTTGGCACTTAAAACACAATAAATATAATCCTATGAAAGACAGCGTTATATAAATTTGATTTGTTTCACATTTACACACTCGGCATTTAAGTAATTAATTCGCTCATATAAAGCAGAAAATCCAGTTGGCAAAAGAAAAGATTGGGATTAATGGTTTAAATTCGGCTGTTTTCAAACTTATGTTTGACCTGATCTATTTTGGAATTCGTTCAATCTTTTTAAAAATATTTTTGCTTTGGAATTATTAAACTTTATACCTGGAAACTAAGAGATCAATATTAGCGCTCTAAGAAAGTCCGCTTATGGACCATACCCGCTTATGGATCATTATCTAAATGAATAATTTATTTATGTTGTTGTTGTTGCTGCTGCTGTTGTTGATGTTGCTGTTAACTGTTGTTGATGATGTTTATCTATTTTTGTTTTTTGTTTATTGGTGTTGCTGTTGTTGCTGTTGCTCTTCATTGTTGTTGTTGTTGTTGCTGTTGGTGACGATGATGATGATGATGATGATGATGATGATGATGATGATGATGATTATGATGATTATGATGATTATGATGATTATGATGATGATGTTATAGACCGAAGAACCGTAAGATCAATGCATACGCACAACAATGTAGTTTCAATTCAAAGAAATCACTGCAAACTAAAATCTCAAAAATATGTATACCGTAATCAATTTCTTAAATGTCCTTAATTGAAATACAAAAATATGTGATGATTGAAAACCGTAACAAAACCGTTGCCTGCAGTATCGAGACTGTAAACTCTCTTATTGGTTTAAAGATAGTTTACGCTCATTTTCGAGTAAAATCATTTCATCGCAGAAATTTATTGAAAACTATGAAGTTCTTACTTGAATAAAAAGAATGTACAAACTATGCATAGGAAACTGCATTAAAAAAAGTTGGTTCTTTCTCGAAGAAACTGCCAGTTTTTGTTTTAATGGCAGTATATATATTGTGGTGAAGTTTGAAACATAACATATCTATACTTTATGTGAAGTCGAAATATGTTGATTTTATATTTACAAAAAAAAAATTTGCAATAGGAATTTTCAATTTCAGCATAATACATGTATAACTTTTAACAGCCAGGAAGGTTGAATTCCATTCAAACTTATTTACACTTTATATCAAAATAGCTGATCGAGTGCAAACAAAACAAGAAATATCTTTAAAAAAGATATTTGGCCGGGGTAAAATTGGTTAACTTGTATACCTGTACGTTTTATTTTAGATCTTTTACAATTCATTATGGCAAAAACTATCATTAACATTTTATTTAAAATGGCAAGAACTATCCATGAATGAACAATTTTTCGCTTTTTTAATTTGTTTTTTCGCTGTTTTAATGTGTTTTTGCAACTCTTTTTAATGTGTTTTTGCAACTTTTTTAATGTTTTTTTGCAACTTTTTATAATGTGTTTTTGCAACTTTTTTAATGTGTTTTTGCAACTTTTTTAATGTGTTTTTTCAACTTCTTTAATGTGTTTTTGCAACTTTTTTAATGTGTTTTTGCAACTTTTTCTGATGTGTTTAAGCAACTTTTTAAATGAGTTTTTTTATTTTTTTAAATGAGTTTTTACAACTCTTTTTTAATGTGTTTTGGCAACTTTTTTAAAATGTGTTTTTGCAACTTTTTTTAGTTCGCTCCTGATGTTGGAAGAGAGTTTTTGTTTCGTTTTTGGTATTGCTGTATGATCATGGGTAATTTATGCAGAATATATGACGTATCGTATATAATATGTATTACACTGATTGACCCCGGTGCCCGGTATTTAAGGTCACTTATATTATTGCAATTCTGGAAATAAATGTAGAGTTAGATTCCATTAAATGGATATTAGTTTAATGTTTTCATCTTGAGTTATTTCCTGGTTTATCATTCTTCATTTTTTTCTAGATTATTGTGCCACAAACCCGTGCCAAAACGGCGGTGCATGCACGAGTGGTACAAGCAGCTACACGTGCAGGTGTGCATCTGGATACACTGGTTCGACTTGCAACCAAGGTTAGATTGATTATTAATCTAAAATAAATCAGTCATTCAGAACTAGATAAATCAAAAACACTTATATTTTGACTCTGCGTGATACAAATTGTATATGTCCGCCTGTACGGTGTGCATCAAACGGGCAAGGTGCCATTATATGTAAATGATCAGTAAACAGCTTAATATCACAATACTTTGACATGTTTGCTGTAATTGTGATTAATTCTATAATTTACTATGAAAAATGATGTAAAATTAAGCCACGTGACTAACGGAATAGTTCTAAAAATATCGTTTACACTGTAACGTTCAATTCTAATAAAAAGTAAGGCAGTCTTTTCATAATATATAGGTCGTTTTTTATATAATAACAGTAACATCTTCTATTTAAAGTTATTGGTCAATCGCCGTTATAATTCATTATACTGTTCAAAACGTTATAGTTTATTCATTTCTTGTCTGTATGACGTCAAATTTGGACCAAAATTTGTCACAAAAATATGATAAAATGCGTCGGAGAAAATATATGGAAAACCAGACAACAAATTATGAATTAACTTTAAGAACAAATTAACGTCAAAAAGGTTTCTGATGCGTTGCACCGGGTGCGTGTTACCATGGTTATACAATATCATAGTGAGCATGCGTTTAGAAAAATAATTCAATAAACGTATGTTTAATTTGTAGGAAACAATTAACTTTTGCCGTGCATATGAAAATATTCAAAATTTAATGGAATATGAAGACGTTAGACGCTTAGTCCAATTACTTTTTGAACAACCCTCGTATGTCAAAATTTTTAAATATATTACTAAAATTCAACTCAACATGACAGTGACGGTCAGTTTAATAGATCAAAATTGCGGTATTGTTAGTGTCCTGGTTGGCAAAGAGGGTGTTACACAAACTGATCACAGAGGCTTCTGCCATTGATCAGTACTATCAAACTCCTACGTAGTGGTACCCCTTTGCTTCGCGGCAGCCAATTAGATTAGTGCATAGAGCTTTGGAAGAGATATGTATGTCATTCAATCAATAGTTTTAAGAAATAATTATGCATTTTTGATTCAGTTATTAGTTTAACCACTGTCACACGATTAAAAGATTGTGACACTTATTATTCAAACTGATTATTTAAATTTAATTAAATCTCATAAAATTAAATTAATGTTTCCAGATGTTAACGAATGCGCAAGTAACCCATGTAAAAATGGTGGTGCATGTACAAATGGACGGAACCAATTCACCTGCTCATGCGCGGCAGGATATACCGGAACTACTTGTAGTCAAGGTAAGGTTACACCCCGCACTTAATTTCAAGTTCATGCCGTTAATATGTTCTACAAGCAATACGTCTTATATATTCTGATTTCAAAATACGCAACCTGGAAACACACGTTTTGTTGAGAATATATATACAATAACACTGCAAATCTACAAAAACATAATCCAATCAGCAATAGTAAATCAGTTAAGATAGTCGCCATTCATTCCGTTGAAGCTTAATATACACTGTGGCCCCAGACCCAAAAACAGCACATTACGTCCCTCTGGCAAAATATACCAACAAATATACAGGCTTAAGAAACAATGCCTCTGCTTGAGCAACTCTCTTTACATGCAAAATATCACAAAGGAACAGGTGTTTCGCCTTGTAGGTTTTTTTTCTATTGCCTAAAGTTTGTACCCGCCCCCGTTCCCTTCTCACCCCGCCCTGCCCCTTTAAATGACTTGTTTTACTGAGCATGTTGTTTACAAAAATGGCGGCCTTGACATCTCTAACCATTAGCATTTAAAAGCTGGTCATGTTTTCGAATTTGCTAGTCATCATAATAAAATTCACAAAAACAAGTTTCTGCTAAAGTGCTCTTTAAAGGTAAACAGTCATTTAAATGCAGAATAGTCACTTTATCCGGCCACTCAAAGTTGTGAAGTCAGCCATTGTATTTAAGCGTTGCGTCAAAACCCATAGTGATTTATAATGATAAACTGTCTAAAAAAGCTCCCTTCTTTTGTTATATATAGAAGCTCATTGTAAAAGATGAACCTTTAAACAGCTCTTTGTATCTTTTTTAGATGTGAATGAATGTTCGAGCAACCCATGCAAGAATGGTGCCACGTGCAACAACCTTGTAAACAGATATACGTGCACCTGTGCTTCCGGTTGGACTGGAACGAATTGTGACCAAGGTACAGTGTACATTGTTTTTAAAAATATGTTGCGCAATCGCGTTTCAAGTCAATTTATATTAGGTGGACTTTTACTTGATATATTGGAAATAAACTATTCCCAGCATAAAATTACTATTTGTTTACATGTTTATAGTTACTAATTAAGCGTAGGTTAAGACCGAAATACCGCATCCGTTCTATGTATTTTTACTACATTGTATTGTGTTCCTGGTAAGGGCCGAAAAGTTGCGATTGAGACTGATCACAGAGGCTTACAATCAAATTCCTACGCAGTGGTCCTCTTTTGCGTCGCGGCAGCCAATAAGATCAGTGCATAGAGCTTAGGAAGAGACATGTCTATCATCCAATCAATAGTAATAAGAAATAATTATGTATTATCTAATTTTACCCATGAAATATGGTGCTATATCAGTCAAATATATTTCATATTTTTTTAAAGATAAATATGTAATATAAATATGAAAGTGGGCGGAGTCAAAACTCATATTTATTTTAAGGGACTTCTTTCGCCATTTTGTTTGAAAAATCTGATAAATACAAAACAACTTTTTGCTGAAATTTGTTTTGAAAACTATCTAGAATGATAGAAAATGGTCTCATTAAGAAAATTATTCCGAACACCAATATCATTTATTCAGTCATTAAAGCTGTACAGACGCTTTTAGAATTGTTTTCGTGACGTCACAATGTAGCGCTAAACATCGCGTGCAAAACAAGACAATAATTATATTACTGCGCGCTGTACAATTGCAGTTGCGTAGCAAGCAAAGGGGTTCGTAACCATTTTTTTTTTGATAATGAAATTAAATAAAAAGGTTAGTTTTTCGTTTTTCGTGAAATATGGTATATATTTTCACTCAACATGATAAAATGCCACATATTTTCGTTCGCCGTCCCGGCTCGTGAAAATATGTGGCATTTTATCATGCTTCGTGAAAATATATTCCATATTTCACTCAAACAAAAAAATATCCTCTTTTTAATTAAGTTACATGTATTAGTATAACCACTGTTTCAAGATTAAGAGATTGTTACACTGATTATTTACACACTGATTATTTACACACAGATCATTTAAATTTAAAACTCATAAATCCTAATTTATGTTTCCAGATGTTAACGAATGCGCAAGTAACCCATGTAAAAATGGTGGTGCATGTACAAATGGACGGAACCAATTCACCTGCTCATGCGCGGCAGGATATACCGGAACTACTTGTAATCAAGGTAAAGTAGCACTCCGCACTTCATTTCAAGTTCCTGCCGTCAATGTCCTATAAGCAATAAATCTGATAAATCTGATTCCAAAATACACAACATGGTAAAAGGAAACGTACCAAACAATCAAATCTGCAATAGTCAGGCTTATGTTATAAGAATTTGTTGTTTCGTTGGAAAAGATGAACCATTAAACAGCTCTTTGTACCTTTTTTAGATGTGAATGAATGTTCGAGCAACCCATGCAAGAATGGCGCCACGTGCAACAACCTTGTGAACAGATATACGTGCACCTGTGCTTCCGGTTGGACTGGAACGAATTGTGACCAAGGTACAGTGTACATTGCTATTAAAAAGTCTGTTTCGCAATACTTAAACTATATTAAACATGTTCCCAGGGTAAAAGTAGTGATCGCGTTTCAAGTAAATTAATTCAAAAGTATCGGTTTTGGTCAAATTTTTCAGTTACAAAAATAGGTCAGTAAGATTCAAAATATTTTATTGGATTAAGGTAGCATTAGTGTTCTAGTCTTTTATCAAATTATATCAAGATCTCAATAGAAATTACAAAACACTCAATGTTTCCAGTTGTAATAAAACTTAATAAACTAAATGTTTTCAGATGTTGACGAATGCGCCAGTAGCCCTTGTCAAAATGGCGGAGCGTGTACAAATGGACAAAACAGATTTACATGCGCATGCGCGTCAGGATATACCGGAACTACTTGCAATCAAGGTAAAACTTAGATACTGGTGTGAGAAATTATTTCTGTTTAATATGCCCGTAAGAATAAGACTGGAAAAGGAATTGGAGCATCGCACTAAATACCTTATTCCGGTATATACCGGACAAGGCGGTTGAATGATTACATCCTAAATTCTCGCCCTTTTACCAAACGGAATGAACTTTTAACCGTCCAGTTCATCTCATATACTCAAATGAATGAAAAATGTAAGAATCGGCGAAAGAAAGGCCATCTTTGTCTAATTTGTGATCATGATTTCTGCAACGTTTGCCACAAATACAGTTTTTGTGAAGATATTCTTTAGATAAATCTGTCTAACTCTTTTTTGTATTTAATTTTTTATTACAAATATCAAATGAAAACACTTCATTGAATTTCATTCTCTGTATAGAGCTACGACTAAATTAAGAAAAAGCGTCAAGCCTTTAGTTTTGTTTCCCTTTTCTTTAGCAGTTTTTTTTTTATTGCGTATGTAATTAACATTGTCGAATTAATAACCATGGAAAGAAATCAGAAGCATGGGTACAACATTTTCAGAAATCTATGTCCCTGGTAAAAGTAACCATTATTTCTTAATGAATATTCCTCAGATTTCAATGAATGTGCTAGCAATCCGTGCCTGAACGGTGGAGCATGCGCAAATGAATTCAACAAGTTCACCTGCACATGCGCAGCGGGTTATACCGGAACCACATGCAGTCAAGGTAAGCACGTATTTTATTTAGATGTTTATTTTTTTTATTTAATTAATTATCTTTTCATTTATTTATTTATTTATTTTAATTATTCATTTATTTATTTATTTATTTAATTATTTATCCTATTATTTACATGGATAAAAATGGAAATTTGAAAAAAAAAATGTATTTTGAGATTTCTTCTCTGGGCAAGAGCTTTGTGTCAGCTCAGAAATTCAATACCTTAGATGTTAGGGAAATCAGTTAAAGGCTTTTCATTGATGAAAAACATTTTACGTTTTTCCGGAATGTTCAGTCTACATCGTATATTTGCTCCCTGTTTTTTTATGTATATATATATTTTTTTATGTATATACATTTGTATATATATATATATATATATATATATATATATATATATATATATATATATATATATATATATATATATATATATATATATATATATATATTTCACTTGAGTGAAATATTTACCTTTTATTCTGTAAGCATTTACAATATGTTTCTAAAATTAGATATCAATGAATGTGCGAGCAACCCTTGCAAAAACAGCGCTGTGTGTACCGATCAGGTGAACGGATACACGTGCACGTGTACGTCTGGGTGGCAAGGAACGCATTGTGATCAAGGTACGTGAACGCTTGAATGCTTTGCGTTGTATCAGATCAGTGTGAATTCAATGTACGTTAATTTTTGAATGCTGACCTACATTTTTTTTTGATTTTGCCTTTTAAGAAATTTCCGAAGCTTCCAGTTTCCCGCTTCTTTTCCCTGTCGTCAACTAAAGTCAGCCAATCATAACCTTAAACATCCATCATATATAGAAATGCCGAACTTTCATTGGCAAATGATAAAATTATGTTTATGACTCGATTTGATGTTTGTGGCAACATTTTGACGTGTTATGAAGAATTTAGTGGCTAAATGAAATTAAATATTGAATGCATTTAACACTGTTAAGCAGCTTAACAGTCTACTATTTACGTTTAGCCTAGTTTCGTACGATTTTTAAAGCCACGTGCGTAATGCTTCCATCGTGTCGCTTTTTTAAACTTTCATAGTCACGTTTCTTTGACCGCGTGCTTTAAACTTCCATCAGCGCTTGCCAGGCTAAACAAAAAAGAGATGTTCAAATGCACTTTCTACATTTATTTCACAAAATATTATCCTTCACAATGCATTTTTGTCAGATGTGAATGAGTGTGCCAGTAATCCATGTGTAAATGGTGCGTGTACAAATGGACGTGACAGGTTCACATGCTCGTGCGATCCTGGATATACCGGAACTACATGCAATCAAGGTATTTACCATGTGCTTATTTTTGTTGTTGTTTTCACGTGTTTTCAAAAACTGCGTTAACGATTTAGAAACAAAGAAACCTTCTTTTATGCACGAGAAAAGCCATTAAGTGCATATGGACCAAAAATGAAGGACATAATAACTTACGTTTCTTTATGAATAAATGATTTCATTATTGCCTAACAACACAACTAGAGCTTAATAAATTTTAAACATATGGTACACAGGAACAACAACATAGATAATAACAACAACAGAAGATTATCCAAATAAAACATTAGGGGACGTAACTGATGGTTCGTTTACAAATGCCTATTTCAGATATAAACGAATGCGCGAGTAACCCGTGCCAGAACGGAGCGGTATGCAACGATGCTGTGAACGGGTACACGTGTTCGTGTGCTGGCGGATGGACTGGCACACACTGCGGTCAAGGTACGGTTAAAAGTCACACAATTCTTTTATTTATTACATGCCATATGTTATTACAGGGGTTTTTACTTAATTGTTTTTATGAAATGAATCAAAAACTATTTGCATAATTCCAAATACATCAGTAATATTTTTTTTAATTTTTGTTATAAAAAGGTGACTTGATACTTGTGCCTCAAATGCATTTGGTCGTATTGCACAAGCAAGTCAAGTCAAGTCGAATAATTTATTGGCAAAAACATATACATGTTCATTACATGCATTGAAACACTATTTATCGGCTGATTAAAGTGCTACCGGAAGTTTGTTTTGCCATATTGTATCTGAATATAGTATATTCTCGTGTTATATTGCTCTGTACCTTGGAAGGAAATAAATGTCATAAGTATTGTCTCGTATTCTATTATTTATATTAGAAATGTGTGTTTATGAAAATCTACAGAGACTTTATTACATAAACCAATATCTAATTATTATAACATTTTAAAATTGAAATTAACATCTGTGTCGTTGTGTAATAATTTCTTTCTCTATTGTATTCCGAAAAATGCCATAATACTATTGACTGCGAATCCAAACAATATATTTGAATTGGAGAAAAAAGTTTTTAAGAAGTAAATGTGTACAAAATCACTTAATTTCCAGACATTGATGAATGCGCAAGCTCTCCGTGCAAAAATGGTGCCGCTTGTACCAACGGACAAAACAGATACACTTGCACGTGCACAGGAGGTTGGACTGGGACAGATTGCGATATAGGTAAGGGGTGTCGTAATCAGCTAGTTTTTTGTGAAATTCTTTCCTTATACAGTTGTGTTTTGAAAAAGTTAAACTTTCATATAATTATTTTATATAATTATTAATCTTCTCTGTTTGTTTTTTACGCTTACATTATCTTTGATCATTAAATGTTACAAATAAATGCATTTTATTTCATTTTTTTATTATTTTTTTTAATAAATCATTAATTGTTACATTCAAATCATTTTCAGTAAACTTATTTAGATTGAATGTTACATTGGAATCATTTTTAGAACACTTATTCCACAGCTATTTCGCACATTTTATTATATTGCCTTTACACATTTGGAGAATAGCCTTTATATTTTTACTATTCTTCTTAACTATTGAGGTATGTATGGTGGCTGATTTACGCCATGTCGTGTTTTCGCTTTTTTTCGTTACAAAAACAAAATGCGAAAATACGAAGATACAAAACGAAAAAAGACAAAAACCACAATAATAAAACGACAAAAAATTTGGAAAAGTGATGATTAAAAGCAAAAAGCAAAAGGGACGGTAAATTGGGCTTTTTTGTTAAAAATTTGTCTTCACTTTTCGTTTTTCGTCTTTTTTGCGAAAAAACGATTTTGGAATAAATCATCCCCATAGGTATGAGTGATACAAGTTTCTTTACGTTATCCTATCCTCTTTTGTAGATATCAACGAATGTGCAAGTAACCCGTGCCAGAATGGTGCCACGTGCAACAATGAACAAAACAGATACACGTGTACATGTGCCGGCGGTTATACCGGCACGAACTGTGACCAGGGTATGTAATGACATTTTTTCCATAAATAATCTGAAACTAATTATCAATTAAATAAGTACCATGACATATTTTCTTTCCACTTTTCGGATAAAAAGCAGAGATATTGCCATGACCCATTCGTCTGGGTAGGCGTTTGTTAACCTTTTAATATATTCGAATGTTAAGATAATCAATTCAAATAGAAAGTTATTGATTATTCATTGTGTAAAACAAACATATCAATCTATATTTCAATGATATATTTATTAACTTCTTTTAGACATTGACGAATGCGCGAGCTCTCCGTGCATGAATGGGGCAGCGTGTAACAACCTCTTGAATGCATACACTTGTTCTTGCACTGGTGGCTGGCAGGGGACAAACTGTGATCAAGGTAAGACTTTGAAAATATTAAGACAGTTTAAAACGTATTTCTTTTTAAAAAAATCTGTCATTTTCTGAGTCTTTTTAAAAGAAATAAAGCGTTTATGTAACCATGAGTAATTTTTCATCAAAAACGCTTATTTGAATATAACTGTGTATAGAAATTGGTTGAAAATGTAAAATATGTTCTGACTACTTTAATATTGTATAACAAATAGATATCGATGAGTGCCTGAGCAACCCGTGCCAAAATGGTGCCACGTGCAACAATAACCAGAACAGCTACTCGTGCACGTGCGCTGGTGGATGGACCGGAACAGACTGTGATGAAGGTCAGTTTATTAGCACTTACGTGTGTATACGTGTGTTAAATGCATAAAATCGCAAATCCAACCCATTGCTGATTCTTGTCGCTTGAGTTGCTAGCAACGCCTTCCAGCCTCATCTTTAAAGGCACATTATGTCGAATTGTCTTTTTCCTTTTGTAGAATGGATAATTATGTATTTTGTATAAACGGAGTTCTTTTAACCTAGCTGAATAGCTTCCTCATTTGAATCCACGGACGGAGTGGCAAGTGATTTGAAATCGGTGTCATTATCCACTCGGCCACGGACGATCCTATGTTGTGTTTTTATTACTTTGTGAAATTGTGTGTCCTCCCTTATCTATATCATTGGAAGAAAATTTAAGATTCCAGTTTTAATTTTTAATATACGGTGAACACTGTGTGTACGACCACCTTTAGAAATTAGGAAAATACTAAGTTCTTTGTTGACAAGCTTTATTCAATCATTAAAAGAAACAAAATTTATATACATTTTACCATAATTGAGCAATATTTGAACCAAGAAAATTTGTATTTGTGAAATTTTGTGATATCTTTATTTAAGGGATGGTCTTTGACACTTTACTTTTACATGTTTTACTGGACGTTTGCAATGTAAGGAAAAATACAATCAGAAATGAAAAAACCAAACATTATTTTTCCATTGCTTTATTATTTTGTAACATTGTTGTTTTTTTTTTAAATAATTTGATTGCAGAAATTTGTTACAATTTTATGTATATGTCAAATTGTATATCATTTATACATGTTTATTATTCAGAAATGCTTTTTCTTATGTTTTGATATCAGATATCGACGAATGTGCCAGTTCCCCGTGCCAGAATGGCGCCACGTGCACAGATTTTGTAAATTACTACACCTGTGCATGTACAGGTGGTTGGCAAGGCGCTAACTGCGATCAAGGTTCGTAAAGATCATCTACACAGCTTTTCATTTTTTTCATATTTTCTCAATAATATTTAGATCATTAGAATGTTGACCCCCAAAGAGACTGCCACTTTTGGCAAGGGAGATAGAAATTGTAAAAAATCGTGAACTATATTTAAAGAACTATTTTTTTCAGAAACTGGTTTAACAAGTCGTCTAACATAACATATTTGTAAGGAGTAATTTGACAATGCCATAATAGTTTATTGGTGCCTTATGTAAATCTTTAAAGCGATTGTTACAAAATACTGTGGCAGAACTTCAAAATCAATAAGTATTAAATCTTTCGAAGAAAGCATATGTGTAAAATGTTTTTAGACAAACACTTACATTTTTTTTACTTTACAGATATCGACGAGTGTGCGAGCAGTCCGTGCATTAATGGCACGTGCTCTAATCTTCAGAATGCATATTCTTGCACGTGTTTCCCAAAATACACTGCAAGAAATTGTGATTACTGTAAGTGTGAAAATAAAAAAAAATACGCATTTTTTTTTAAAAAGAGATCATTTCATAATATATTGTAGTATAATTAATGATAAGCAAAACATTTTGGATTTAAGTTTTCCTAACTTACACTGTAAAATACTGAAAAATGAACAAAGACACTTTCCAATCAAAAAATGCGAAAACAGACGACTCGTAGTCAGAGCTATGTAAATATTCATGCTAGTTTTACATGGAAACTTTGGTCAAGATACAGTGTTGCATATACCGTCAATATTTTAGTATATTGTCTTCTTTTAAGTTTTGTTAATTTAATGTCTTATGATAACTTGATAACTTGAAATTTAACAAAACTTGCAGTGATCGGGACACCAATGGATGGCAACTGGGGCTTGTGGCAGTCATGGCAGGGCTGTAGCGTAACATGTGGCTCAGGTGTGCAGAGGCGGTATCGAGCCTGTGACGACCCTCCACCGGATTACGGTGGCGCTCCTTGTGTCGGGGATTCCTTCGAGTCGAATGTTTGCTCTGGTTCGGGCTCTTGTACAGGTAGTAATTTATTCTGATTAACAGTTTCCTTCACCAGTATGGATACTTTAAAGGCGGCTTTATCTTGTTACTTACTTACTAAATGTTTATCATGATATCGATGGAAAATTCCTGAATGTAAAAGGCAAGGCAGTCTAAGAAATTCAACATGTTAATGGATATTGAATTGTATTGTTTAGTGTAGTTAAAACATTTCTAAATACTAAACTTTATGTAATAATCAATCTTTATTCCATAATTATTTTATCACTTATTATGATTACAAACAACAAAATACATTGGTAATTTGATAAATTTACACGTGTGTTATTTCAACTCTTTAAGCTAAGATTGACGGAAACTGGGGGGGGGGTCACGCTGTTCATGAGCCAAAAGTTGGCCAAAAAATGTACAAGGTCAGACAAAGAACAACCCCGCCCCCAGGGCGGGGGGTAAAAATGCCCGGAGACGCCTCCGTGTTGCCACCTGCACACAGCCAAAGTAATCAAACTTCTTCCCCGGAGAAATTTTCATCAAGGAAAACCGTAACCAAGCGGAAATCATTCCCCTTACAAAAAAATTACAGAAAAATTTTAGATTGCCAAAATCGACACCCCGGAACAATCAAACCTTTTTTAAAAGTTTGAAAAATTGATTTATTTTTCCAAATTTTTACTTTCGGTCTTTGGTTGTACCCTTCCCCTTTTTTTTTTTCAGTTAAGTATTATGGGTAAAACCAAACTGCTCAATTAGATCATTTTTAAAGGAAGGTTTTATCAGATTGATGGGTTATCGGTTGTTGGAAGTCATTTCTCTCGACTATACTGCGAAAACGTAACCATGCATGTACATAAAAAAGCTAGTATATATTTTTTTATATTTCTATAAATTTGAAATATGTATACTTATCTTATTTTTCTCCTAGCACCTGTATGCATGTCATTCCATTTCGTTTAACATGTAATTGATAAAATGTTTTTGTCAGAGTTGCCGGTATGTGCCTTGACTTTTACAATAAACTTGAAACTTGTATTTGAAAATTGTAAGATGTCTTAATTATTTCACTAAATTAATCTTTGTTGAAAATTCATTTATCTATCAGAGATGCTTTCATCTGAGCAGCAAAAGCAACAAAAATATGTTTATCTTTAAGGCCTTAAAACATTTTAATCTGACAAAGGAACTTATCCGATTAATTGACAGGATCGCGGATAATTATTAAAGATGGCGTTGCACAATTACAATTCTGTATTTAGAGAAAATTGTAAAATTTTGGATTTTCTTTTAAATTTCAGGCCTGTCCTAACGGTTATTTCACCTGCGCTACTGGTTCCGTGACCTGCATTCAGGACATGTTTGTGTGTGATTGTTTCGGTGACTGTGACGATTCTGTGTGAACTTCCCTGTGGGGCCGGGTTGCCACAAAATTGCGAGAAAAGGCTGGTTTAAAAGGAAATAAAGACATTTTATTACAAACTTTTAAGGCGTTCAAATGGTTTTGTTTTGTTTCGGAAATTTTTAATTTTTATTGCATTTTTTTTAAGAAAATATTTTTTTTGGAGATTCAAAATTTCTAAGGGTTAAAAAAAATTTTTGTAAACAGTTTGGAAAGGTTTACTTAAGTTTTTAAACACGTATAAACCTGAAAAACCCCTTTGAAAATAAATTACTTTTTTGTACATTTTTTTATTATTCGGCAACAAAAATTTGAAAACGGGGCTTTTTATTTGCCCAAAAAACATCCGGAAAATTTCTTTTTTTTTTTTTTTTCCCCCCTTTGTTTTTTTTTGGCTTTTCTTCGATATTACGTTTAGAAAATTTTTTCCTTGCTGCCTTTTCCTTTTTTTCCTTTGTACTTCGACGTTATAAGACAATAAATTGAAAGACAGCAAAGTGTTCGGAATGATAATACTATACATGTATTTTGTAAACTATGGAAAGCCATTATAGAATAAATCATATTCATGATATTTTTTTTAATTTATGCCACATATAAACATTTGAGCTTTGTTTATTTCAGGTATGACTAGTACTCTGTATGTGTTGGTAGTGTTTGTAGCAGTCTGGAGACAGATACTAAATCTATAGAGAAACGAGAAACCCATTCCGGAAACTACATTATGGCTAAATAAACATTACTTATATATTCTTCATCATTATTTAAACATATTTAAACTTTAAAAAAAAAAGAAAAAAAAACCAAACATTATTTCAGGTCATATTTGGAACTATCACTCATCTATAGTACTAACATAAATGTGTGCTTAATATGCTGGTTACGAAATGAAATATTTTATATATTTTCTCCAATTTCTTGGTTTCTTCTAACATTTTATAGCACATATCCATTAAATCGTTGCAATTTCTGCCAGTATTTATCATTCTTTTAACAATACATTTACATAGTTTCCTGATTTGTATAAGTTCCAGAATAAATATTTGTTAAAATAAGTAATTGCTTCCCTTGCATAAGCATGTATTGACTTTGACCAGAAGAAAAAACAACAACAGACCATCATCAGTATCATCAGTGCTTGGCAGTAAGGAAAGGGACACAACTCTGTAAAAACTTGACTCAGTATTATGAGATCTTTGTCCATTATCTAAAATAAATACAGAGAACAAAAGTGTGAAATTTCAACCTATTTCCTTCAGTTGTTTAAAACAAAGTAGGACAGCGACACGGACATCGGCACTGGGGCGAGCAATTGCAACTTTTTTGCCCTTTCCGTCAGTATAGATAATAGCTGAGGGCGTTCCGTACAATACATCCTATTCCTCGAATAGCTGAGCAAAACTCGAGGCACTGTTGCAACAAATTATGTAATATTAAACAAATTTGGTAATTTTATTTCCAAAATTTGCATATTTTCTTCTTCATTTTTGCAAGTTCGTTGCAATGGCATGAAAAAAACATCAACCTACAAAAAGCTTATAATTCTTTGAAAAACTCATTTAAATAATGAAAGTTGTAAAAACCTATTGTAACAAAGCGTTATTGAACACATTATCTATTACATGCCAATTCCTCACGGGAAACATGGGCTTCTCATTTGCATTTATCACAGCCTTTTTAAATAGAAAGTTAGGGAGACCCTGGTTTACTTAAATGTCTATTATGCATACATAAACTACTTCATTAGAAAGTAAAAACATGTTTTTTATAACGGTTAAATTATGATTTCAGAAAATGTTACATTAGCGATTATATATTAGCAAGAAATGTGAAAGAATTTGTCATAAAAGAAGCCATATGTAAACAAAGTAGTATAATTTCGACTTTCATACACAATTCTTATTCACTAGCAGTACTGTTTGTCAAAACGCAACACATGGAATAGATGGTTAAGGTAATTGACCAATGCGTAACCTTTTGGTTACTATAAAAGTACACCAAAACTAAAAAAAAACTTTTGAGAAATAAAAATGAAAGAATTTCTGAGGCATAATGAGCCTTTAAACTTATTTTTAATTTAGCATGGTTGTAATACAATACGTAAGAATGCACTATCTAATTAAGTCATAGAGGCTTTTATAAATGATAAACTCACGAAACTTCAACGGACGAGACAAATTATCACATTATCTCAATCAAGACAAATTTCATTTCATTGGTTCATGAGCGCATTTGAGGTAAAAGAAATAAGGTTATTTTAACCACTCTTGAATCAAAACTCCAATTCTCCTGTCATAGGAGGAAACATGTAAATGGTCACAGTAGAGCTCAAACCTATCACCCCTTCCAGTCAGGCAGACACATGGCCACATCAGAGACGTCTATGTATTAGTAGTATACCTCCCTAGCCATCTGCCATTCATTATACACTGTAGCTATATTTTCTTTTTATCAAAGGGACATTATGCTCATTTTTTTCATTATCAAGTTGAGCTTAATTTCAAAAGAATGACAATTAAAATGATGAAAAATGGTTTTTGGGAAAATGGTTAGGATAAAATATAAATCTGCCTAAATGTATGAGCCGCGCCATGACAAAACTAACGTAATGCGTTTGCAACCAGCATGGATCCAGACCAGCCTGCGCATCCGCGCAGTCTGATCAGGATCCATGTTGTTCGCTTACAAACTATAACAAGTAGAGAAACTGATAGCGAACAACATGGATCCTGATCAGACTGCGCGGATGCACAGGCTGGTCTAGATACATGCTGGTCGCAAACACATTACGTTGGTTCTGTCATGACGCGACTCATATAAAGAGTGGACAGTCTTTTTTTATAATTTGAACAACTTTCGCATGCGAGTTATTTATCCTTCACATGAATAAAATGAAAGGAATTATGTCAAAATGTTTATATACCATGATATACTACATTCGTTACTTCTTTATTAGTCATACTTTCTACCTACATGTAATTACTTGCTTTTAATTGGGGGGAAAAAAAAACAACAAAAAAACAAAGACACTTAACATTATAATCATAAAATTTATTTCCCTTTAAATCACAAATAGCAACAGAAAGAAATAAAATTTGAAAAGAAGAATTTAGGACACATTCTATCATTCACACAAGTTTACAATATATATCATCTATAAGAATAAATTATAATAAATATACAACTATAATTTCTGATTACATGTCTAATGGAATGGAAAAACAAGAGGGCCATGATGGTCACTCACCTGTATATAGGCCCCTAAGGTAGGGCCAATTTTAACCCAAGGGCTTTTATTTGAACAATTTTGGTAGACATCCATTAGAAGATTTTTCATGATAAATATCTAAGCTTTAGGGCTTTGGGGATTTTAAAAGAAGATTTTTTTAAGTTTTTACTATACGCATATATGGAAAAACAATAATCCCCCCTCCGGGCCAATTTGAACCCAGGGATTTTATTTTAACAAGCTTGGTAAACACTCATTAGAAGATATCTAATGATTGGTATCTAAACTAGCTTTTTGGGTTTTTAAAAAAAAATTACTATACACATTGTGAAAATCAATGACCCCCGGGATGGGGCCAATTTTAACCCCAGGGCTCTTATTTATAGACACTCATTAGAAGATGTTTCATGCTAAATATTTTAGCTCTAGCTCTGGATTGTTAAAAGAAGATTTTTTAACTTTTTACTACATACATAAGGGAAAAACAATGTCCCCCCCGCCCCTTGGCGGGGCCAATTTTGACCCTAGGGCTTTTATTTGAAAACACTTGGTAGACACTCAATAGAAGATGTTTCATGCTTAATATCTAAGCTCTAGCTATTTTGGGTTTTTTAAAAGAGGATTTTTTAAGTTTTCATTACATACATATAGGGGAAATAATGACCCCCTTGGACAGGGCCAATTTTGACGGTAGGGCTTTTATTTGAATAAACTTGGTAGACAATCACTAGAAGGTGCTTCATGCTATACTATATATCTAAGCTCTAACTATTTGGGGTTTTTAAAAGAATTTTTTTTTAAGTTTTTACTGTATAAAAATAAGGAAAATCAATAACACCACAAGGTGGGACCTATTCTGACCCAAAGGCTATTATTTGAACAAACTTGGTAGACTCCGACTAGATGATGTTTCATGCCAAATATAAAAGCTCTAGCTATTAAGATTTTTTTAAAGAAGATTTTTTTAATTTTTTCTTTCGATTGCGATGGAAACCAAAGTTCGGCATGGAATTAAATTCTTTGAACAATTTCTAAAATTCACTACCAAAGGAACATTCCTGTGAAGTTTAAAAGAACTTGGCTTTGCTGTGTATGAGGAGATGTCATTTAAAGTAAAAGTTTACGAACAGACGGACGACCAACCGACGCCGGATGAAAAGCGATCACAAAAGCTCACCATGTCACTTTGTGACAGGTGAGCTAAAATGTCCCCAAACAGAAAGGATAAATATTTAGCTAATATATACAACAGAGCTAAGAATTATAACCTGTTTCATATTTAAGAATTTAAATATTCACATGTGCCAAAAAACATAGCAGAAAAATTCAAATTGGTTTATTTTCAAATATTTTCAACATCTTGGTCTCAAGCAAATTTAAACTACCTAATACTGTACAACCTAAAAATCAACAATTTGGACTACCTGGCAATGGTAAATATGCACAAATTTCTACTTTTCAGTTCTGTTAAATCTAAAAGGATTGATACTTAATGTGAACATTTATTTTCACTAAGGAAAACCTACTTCCATTCTTAAATTTCAATTCCTCCCGAAAATTTCTGACTTTACAGTAGATTATGTACTTAAAATTCCATCAATTGAATCTTAAATGATTTATTCTTAACAAACAATGAGTTCTTAAAATGTTCTATCAAACCCCACAACTTATATATCATTCATTTAAGTGATTCTATCATACTATATAACTAAATTGTTTATATTTTGCAACCAGTCTCTTGGCCTTGAATTCTTCCATGCAATAAATATGAC